AAAAAAAAAAAAAGTTGGACTTTATTTTGTCTATACAGTGAAAATGTCTACCGTATGGTATTTTTGTGTTGAAATTCTCGATTTTATATTTTACATTTTTTACTTTATAATGCTATAACTCATTGAAAAGTGTATAGATCAATACATTTTTTTTTTGAGAAATAATATTTATATCCCTCTTTCTTCGACATAATATATATAAGAAAATAGGAGATCATGTAGATTTTGGAATTATCCATCAATTTTTTAAAATTAAACACTATCTACAGATTTGCATCGAAGCGTTTTTTATGATAGTGATTTTAATCACTGTCAGATATCATTATACTTGACCCAACTATACATTATCCCCACTGTGTTGGGTTTTTTAATTTTTACGATGATGTAGGTACTATATCATTCTTGTCAGATATAATTTACTTGAGTATAATAAAACATTGTATACAACATGGGAAGTGGACGAAAATACTAAATAGTCATTTAATATCACTAAAACAAAAATAATGTAAATATCAAAAAGTGTTAGGTAAAACTTTGCTTAACTATAGGTGATTATAAACCAATGAAATTCTAATTACAATCACTTTATTGTGTTGATTTGGTAGGTGATCGAATAAAATAGAGCAGCTGTATGAGGTTTTGAAATAAAAAATATATATAGTAGATTCAACTTAGACTAGATGGTAAATGTTGAAGATTTTGTGTGAAATTCTTGATGTAATTTTTATTAGGAAATTTTTATTTCTTCATTTATGCCTTATAAGGGTATGAACTTTATTTGTTTAGTGGCCATATGTATATTTATAGCTTACTAATAAAATTAAGAAAATGTTACACATTTCAATGCCATTACCTTTTCTAAAAATAAGCGTAAACAAACGATCGGTTGAAAGATACCTAATATGAATAGCTTAAATATAAAATAACCATACACAAACTGAATTGGAGCAAATTTTAATTTTAATTAAATACTATTAAATATTATAAAAATATTAAATCGTATTTGCATTAATTTATGAATCAAGATTATTAGTACTTTATTAAACTCCATCATTTCAACGGATTTAAAGTTTTATATTATTTTTTAGAAGTTCCATTAAGCTATAAACTAATAGACGTTCTCCAGATGAATTCAAAACTCACATTTTAAGTCTTTCGTTCTTATGTGGATTTAGAGTTTTTAGGGTGTACACTAAATAAAATCTTTAAATATGAACTATTAGTATTGTATATAGAGTGTTCACTGAACACTGTTCAGTAAGGAAAACCAATTCTATTATTCTCATTATTCATAACAATTAATCTGTTTTAAATACTCTGCATACATATTGTTTAGTTGGAAATAAATACGTACTTTAGTTCCTATTTTTTTTCGAATATTGTAAAAAATATTAATGTGTATGCTTGACTTCCTTGATATTTTTCTCTAATTGGGTTGAGTTTTATTTAAGATTTTTTATCTTTCTATGATTTGCTATGTCAAAAGAAAATTTGAAAACAATTTTTTTACAATTATCTAAAAAAATGCAATTTCAATTACTCTACTTCATCCAACAAAATTAGTCAATTTTTTTGAATATTTGTTTTATAGATCAAGGGAAATATCATCCAAGACTTCTTGAAAATATAATTATTTTAGAAGAAATTTACGTGAAATTAGAAAAAATAATAATACAACAAAAATGATTACATTAATTTAATAAAACATAAAGTTTAATATTCCAATTTGAATTACCCACACCCATATTTATATACATATATATATATATACATAAATATAATAAAATAGGAGATATAATGTAATAATGTTATTATAAAATACGCAGTACTATTTGTTCATTTCAGTGCTGGTTGGTATCAATAATCTGTGAATTGTTTCCTAATGTTGATAAATAGCTTTTATTTTATAAATCATACTGTGATTAATTTATCATCAAACTCAAATATTACTATGAAATACACATGACATTACAATTAAGCAAATTTTAAGAATTTAATACAATTATATAAGAATTTTTCATTAAAACTAATATATTTAGTTATTAAAATAATTGAAAAATGAGCATTGAGTTATAATTAAAATGATTAAATCGTGTTTTGGTTGCTGTCCATTAAAAAATGGCGTAAGCGTAATAGCTTTTTTCAATATTGTAAGTATTAAAAAATTTACTTAAATTATTTTATTCAAAAATACATGTTTTTTGTAGATGTGGGATATTGTATCAATCTTCAGACATATAATATTTCGATGGATAGATTATAATAAATATTACACTGAACGAATCCCATTAAAATACAACTCTGATGAAAATGAACATGAGGAAAATATAACTGATTCATCGACCAAATCATACGATTCAAATTTTACTTATCTTTTCTCTGAATATTCCTCAGAATATAATTATGTCAGGAAAACCGTCATAAGTGGTAAAGTAAATATTTGTTATAAAGTAATGCATTTATTTTACGAGTTTTAGATTCAAAAATTAAATTGATTTATAAACGTTTTTCTTAGAACACTTATTTGTAAACAATATAACTTAATTTGTTTATATATTTAAAACTATTTTTAGAGTTTTTCATGGATTACCTCTTTTTGGTCTTTATTGGTTGGATTTTATTAGAAGTAACAGTAAACATCGACCTTAAGAAATCAACATTTATGGTAATATTTTATTATATACTTCCCTGTAATTAGTTTTAATGTCCAAAATACTAATTTGTATATTTTTTCAGCATGCTCCATACAGAATTTATTCCTGGCTGATAGTTTACTATACAAATATTGCTTTCATGTTCATATTTGTTAATGATTTTTCATGGAGACATCTTATACTACAAACCAAGAGCAGCCATTTTTCCGAGGAAATTTATCCAACATTTGAAGTATGACTATTTTTTATTGTAAAATTGTCTGTTGATCGATTCATAAATCTAAAAAATAAATATTAATTTAAAGAAATTTACTAATTACCTTAATGACTTACAAAACGATTTTTTAAGGGATATATTTACTTACTGGTGACAGCAATAGAAGTTTTTATTGTCCAATCGTTTTACTATCAACAAAAAACTGCGGCAATGAGTAATATAATTCAACTGAAATGGCAGTATGTCTCAAAAGGAAAAGTGGTTTCCAAAGGTTTAGATTATCCATCGTCGTCTACATTTTATGATGAGATATCTAATCAGAACTTCGATGGATCAAATAAAAAAATACCTTATGTGATCGACGTTAAACAAGATATGCTATAAAAAAAATGTTGATCTCATTTAAAAATTAAGAAGTTAATTATGTGAAATTTTTATTTATATACATTATTATTATGTTTAAAAGAAATTTCATAAAAAATTACTTAACATAAGCTTGACATAATTAAAAATTTCAAATGAACAAAAAATTGCAATTTTTATTTTAATTTCCTCTTATTAATAAAATATTCTAGTAAACAATTATTTATGTTTACCTAGATTATAATTTAATATGGCCCATAGTAGTACTTTATAGTTTTGATAATAATATAGGTTTTTGTCTTATATTTACAAATTAGTAGACCTTTAGAAATAATCTTTAAAAATATACCAGTATAAATATATAGAGTGAAATTAAAGGAAAACATACATTTTCCTCTCATATGAGTCAAGTCATTTTTAAGTGTAAAAATTTAAATAATAAAACTCATACTGTACAAATTACATAAAGGATTTATTTAGTTAACGAAACCCACTATCTTTTATAAAAGTTTTTATAATATACCACACTTAGTGATTGCTGAGACCATTATTTGTAAGTAATGACGATTAGAGCCCGGGGTTATATGCATTTTTAAATTTTGANCCGGAGTTATATGCATTTTTAAATTTTGTTTGAGTCACTTTGATAAATCTCGAGTTTGCACAACTTTGTTGTACAAACTTATTATCAACTTATTTGAATCTAACTATTATAGGAGCATAAAAATATTTTTCGTTTTAGGAAGATTTACGCCTCCTCTAACCAAAAAAACCTATAATCTCAGTAACAACACATTACTAAGTTTTCAAGTCAATTAATAAAAATTTGTACTAACAGATGGTGTGTTTGGAATAACTTAACAAACATTTTTAAATGCATATAATTCGTACTTTAATGATGATGCATATAATTTAAATCATATAATATAAATCTTGTTTGAGTTATTTTATATTTGCTATTTCAAGTTTGTTTATATGTATTGTTAGAATATACATAACCATAGAAATATTTGTCGTTTTATGGAAAATATATCCCCCGACAATTTAACCCCAGTTATATCAATTTACTAAGCTTTTGAGCCTTATTTATTAATACTAATAAATCACTAGCCAGTATAAAATAAGTACAAGTACAGCCATGTGTTTGAAATAACATAAATCTCTCTAATCACCATCAGTCAAAACATAATATACGTAATACTAATGTTTAATTATGATATTTAATGTTTATAAATTAATTTAAAGAATTTTAAACTTATCAAAAGAAAAAGATGTTTTATTTATTTTTTTTTAGTAAAAATTTAATCAAATTACGTATACCTTATGTCAAAAAAATGGTAATTGATTTATTAGATCTAGTTAGACCAATAAAATAAAAACTATTAAGTCTTTGATAATCTGGTAAATTTATGACGTTCATGACTAAAGTACGTTTTGCTTTTAATCTCTAAGCATAATTTTCTGTAAACAAAAATTTATATCTAGTATGTTCATACAGCGTACTTATTTATCAAAACAAAATGTTTACTAGCTCTCTTTTGAGTTTTAAATACTTGTTATTTAATTAATGAATTTTGTGATTTGTAATTAAGATTATTTATTTATATTTTCAAACGAAATTTTAAACATATGTAAGCATGTTAACCAATTTTTTTGGATGTTGTCCTTTGCGAACGGCTGTCAAATGGATTGCTATACTGAACATAGTTAGTGACACTTATCAGTAACTTATATATTTTCTAACTTCTTAAGCAAAAATTTAATTAATCTAATTTAATATTTCTACTAATACATATATCTAAATATTTTATTCATAATTTTAATGTCAGTTTATATCAGCTTTTGCATTTATGGAACATTTTCGATATAGAAAAAATTACTTTGGAGAATCAATTGTGACTATTGAAAGAGCTGAAATAAAACAAGATTCCATGCAAATGAATAATGAGAGTGTTACAGATAATGAAAATTTAACAAGATTAGTATCAGTGCCTTTGTTGAATGTTAAGTATACTTCTAAAATATAGTTATATTAGTATATTTATGTGTTATTACTAGTAATTAAAACTAATTTTTATTTAAATAAAATATATATTCTTTTTTTTTATCAAATTTATATATTTTGTATTCTGACGATATCGTGAACTTATTACTCACGAGAATATAAGTATTAAGTAATATTTATTAAGTATACTATTAATTATTAAGTATAAAGTTTTATAAATATATATTAGTAAAAATATACATCATATACTAAAACAATAATTAATAACAATTCACTTATGAATTTACAGATTTATTTATGGACTATATATTGATTTTACTACTGGCAAAAGATTGTGCAGAATTCTATTTAAATTTGTCTTTAATACATGCAACGTTTAAAGTAAGTAATAATTATTATTATTACATGTATTATGAACGTGAAACCTGTTTTATAAAAGTTCTTCGTGTTTCTAAAAAAAAATATATATTTTTTTAAATTGATAATATTTAATTTTAATTAAGTTTAACTCTAAGAAAACAGTATTTTTTTATAATTTAAATAATCTAATTTTTAGCCTTTGGTATTAATAATAACAAAATTATCTATGGTCATCTCTACGACAAAATTACAGAATTCGACTTTTTTTTTTTTTGAGAACACATAATTATAATACTGACACATATTTCAAGCGTTTTTAGAATAAAATAACTCCATTCTTTCTTGAGATAATACAGTATAGAAANTTTAGAATAAAATAACTCCATTCTTTCTTGAGATAATACAGTATAGAAACCTATTTGCATTGTGAGATATTTAAAAAAATTTTTTTTCTTTTCCTCCTTCTGAATAATTTCGAGTGATGTGTTTTGTCATTGAGACTACAATATAACTATCGATGATTAAAAAAAACTTGAATAATAAAATTACCAAAATATTGTTTATTACATCAAAAATTTGTGCCTCCTAAAAAAAATAATATTAAGATTATGAAATTTTAAAGAAAAAGAGCGTCATACTTCTTTTTTTAGTTTTGATTTAAGTACATAAGTTTTAAAAAAAGTAATAAATAAAGTAAATTTTATTCGGTAATTTCGTAATTCAATAAAACTTAGTGTTTCTTGATAATGTTAATTATATTATTATTTGTGAATTTATAATTTAGATATTTCCACAAACGGTATATTCTTGGCTAGTTATTCATTATATTGACTTTATTGGAATGATTGTTTCCATTTTCATAAATTATTTGAAAATTTATCTCGAACATATTATTCGGAATATTCACATAAAAAGATTAATTATATTTAATAATCATTTTTTTGTAAGTATTAATTTATTATTTAATATATTAATATTAAAATGATTAATATATCCAATATCAACTATTCAACAAAACAACAATTTAGACATAACATGAACTATGAAATAAATTGGAAAAAAATATTGAAATAATTCTACAGTATCCAAGTTAAAGTTTTTAAATAAAATAAATTGTCTTTAATTGTCTATATAATTAAAATAAAATTTTTGTTTGATTATATAAATTTAAACACATAACAATTTCATAAAATATTATACATTTTAGAAAATTAAAATATTTTTTTATACAAAAATATTAGTCTTCGATTTCTAAACATTTTGCTTTACAAATATTTTACTTGATCATTTGGTAAATTTAACGTAAAATGTACGATATACTACTGTAATTTTTTTTTTTTTTTATGCATATTTTATTGTGATTAATATTTTTGCAATCCCAATTATCAACTAACATTATTCGTCAACTTGTACAAGTATGAAAATGTCAATAAGTAGTTCAATCAAAATATTTTCTTATGAAAATATTCAAAGAATATATTTTCATCATAACCTTTAAATCAAGACATGGTTTGGAATAAAATATAATTGTACCGTTACTATATGATCTGAAAAAATAATAATTAATATTATACATTTTCAATTTTTTTTTTTTTTTTT